ATTTTGATAAAATTATAGAGCATAAAAGCATCTTATTTTCAAGATTTTAAGTCCATATAAATCCAGTCTCTACTCATTACCATCTCTTAAGCTTAATAATATTATTTTTCCATGGATTGATTAATAAACAATTCAAATTAAGAATTATTAAAAATAGATTTTAACATTAAAGATCATTAATTATTTTTAAAAGGTATCTCCCTAATTTATTAATGTGTAACACAGCTAAAAATCACAATCAATAAAATATTATATTTTACTTAATATGTATGGATGCATACCAGGGCCTTAGTTAATTAATGTACAAAATATATATAATATACCAGATAAGTAATAATTTTTTAAAAAAATAAGTCATTCATAACTATGAAAAAGTGACAACTAGCAGTACCATTATGACATAACTTCCCAATTATTTTATAATGTGCCCTATGTTCAAACTAAATATTACAAAAATAAATAATAATACATATCCTTCTGATAAGTTTATAAATGGCAAATTTATTTGATTTTATATTCATTATATATCACACATAAGGTGTTATTTAGGAAAGGAAGTGGGGAATAAAAATATGAGATTTTTAGGATTATGACTTTAATTTAATTGAACAAATAAAAAGAAGGTTATTAAATTAATATTTTGTTATTATTTAATAATATATATTTTTATTTACATAATTTTATTTTTGGGGAGAATTTAGAATGAATCGTTTTGCTAATCCTCCTGTTGTGAGTGATAAGGAACTTAACAAATGAGGAAGGGGATCCTCTTATAAACATTTTTTTAGATGGAGCCGTTGGTAAAATTAAATGGTTGGATAATAAATCCCAACTTTTAATTCTGTAACCCAGGTATTGTTAGGTGATATGATAGCTTCTACAGAATATTGATCAAGTCAAGGAATTGGACATTTCGTTGTAACTATAAATTCTTTTTCACTCATTTAAAATGACCACTTGTAATTCCTTTTAAAGTATAAAAATAATGCTAAAACAAAAAAAATTACCAAAACAACAATGTAAGTTTGAGGGTATAAACAAAAATTAGCAGTAACATTAATATCTGTATAGAAGTCGTAGACCCTTGGCAGAAAACGAGGATATACATCATCATCTCCTAAAATTATAGATATACCCAAAGCTGGGCACTATAACTAGTTAGAAAGTTAAAGTTAAGTTAGAAATTTATTTTTTTAACTTCCTTTGGTTTTGGTCACATGACATGGATTCAAAGGTATTACTAAAGTTTAAATTCATTAATTTTATGCTTAATGTATAGGCAAACTTTCCCTCCCCCTTAGTTAAATTTCTGTGGGCGTCTATGACCATATGATATTATGATATTGATTTACAGAATATTATAACTATAATAACTATAAGTATATTATAATGGTATATTAAATAATGATTCATAGTTGTACGCATAATATTCATCCTTAAAATTGTATAACTATTGCTTTACTTATATAATTTTCAGATCGAAAACAAGTCCACAATGTAGGTCAAACGTAACCGAAGAGAAAATTATAAAATTATATTTTCAGAACAATTCAAATTTAAGTATAACAGAAGCCATGTCTTCACTGACACACAAACTGCAAACACTTAAATATGAAAATACTCTGAATAAAGAAAGAATAAAAAAGTTGTTAACAATAAGCAAAAAATATAATGAAATACAGGCTTCATTAGAGTAAAGAAAAATATTTAAATTATACTTTTTGCAAATAATATAGATATTCATTATGTTTACACTTACAGGCAAAAATTCAAAAATTTGATAGTTGAAACTATAAATGATGAATACATTTTAGAAGAAAAATACCAATCGTAAGACAACTTTTTATTATTTCATTCAAAATTAATAATGTGTATTATTTAATAACTCAACAAATGCTTTGTAGAGAAATTCAGAATTTAAACGAAACCAATAGAGATTTGGAGACTAAGATTTCACAACGTGTCACTAAACACATGGAACTTAAAAGACATTTGTGCAATGCAAATTCAAAACAATCCGTGAATACCCGATTCATAAAGTATGTAATATTTTGTTTGAGTATTTTAATCTTATAACAAATTTTTAAATTTTAAAACATTAATTCAAAAGTAACTAAAAATGAATTATTATAATTTATAAATCTTACTTAAGAATCAGCCAAGTGTATATTAAGTTTTTGAATGCATTTAAATACATTTACAGTGCCTAATAACTTATTTTTCAGGAAATTGAAATCAGAAATTACTGATCTTGAAGCAGAAATTGTGAGAGTGCAAAAAAAAATGTGAACATTTAGAATCTCTAGTGCAAGAAAATGATGACACTCCAAGAAGAACTAAATTGTGTAAAAGAATGGTAATACAACTTTGGAAAGTTTTTTATGTGCCAAAATTCTTTAATTATGAATATTTTACAAAAAAAAAACATAATATCAAATTATATTTAAATAACAATATTAGAATTCTTATAGGTACATTAATAATATTTTTTTTTTTTTTTTTTTTTTATTGGTGTATCTCTTTTTTTTAATTAATGAATAACAGTTTGTTAATAAAGCATGATTAAATTTAAATATGTATACATAAATTGCTCATTACCAGTACAAATAATACTGTGGACTTAATAATATTACATTTTGAACACACTTTGGCGTTTGGCTCCTATAAAAATAAAATCAAGTATTAAAAGAATTGCAAATATATTTGTACCATGAATAAATAATTTTATTAAATAATATATTGAGATTAGTAAAAAATATATTACCTTTGGATGACTATTATAACATCCTCTCAGTTTGTGTCTATAAAAATAGTTGAGATTCAGTTTGTTGCAATTATGATGTGTGATTATACCTAATGTGTTTTTATACTGCACCTTAACACTCACTGAGTATCATATTTTTGTACACTTGTCGTGACGATGATAAAATTCCAGCTTTAAAAAAAATTTCCTACAAAATTGAAAAATTGAAATATCAGTGTATGGTTTACAATTGATTATGAAACAATGCTTATAATTTATAAATATAAACGTTTTATCAATATAATAATAATAATAATAATAATATTTTTTATTCTGTATGTTGTGCATACAATTCACCTTCAGCTAGATCAAGTATATGTTGCCTTCTACTCAACCCTCCTTGGGTTGACACTAACATTATATTGGTTTATATAATGTTTCCCATAAACCAAAACGATTCATTTAATAGATAGTTAAATTATTAATTCAGAATACAAAAACATTACATATTTTTAAAACTCACTCATATTCTAAAGTAGGATTCTAGGTTGAATTGTATAATGCATGTGTTATTTTTGCATCAAAAAATATCAAGTTGCATTAATTCTGTATCACCTGAAATAGTGAAATTTAAAGCAATATTAGCAAAATAAGGTATATTCTGAGTTAATTTTAATTTAACTTACAGAAAAAATCTACGTCTATTGGTTTTCTGTCACATTCCCCTATTTTCCATACAATAAAATTAAATCAACCAGAGGTATTTTATTTTAAAATATAGTTGCCGTTAAGTCTATCAAAATCGTCCATTGAAATATTTTCAAAATTTAAGCTGGATATATATTGCTCTCACCATTCCCAATCTGGAGAAAAATGTTTTCTATATAATGAAGCAATTCTTCTGCAGGATTTTCAAATTTTTTGCTCTGATGAATAAAAATAATCACAATACACCCTGAAATTTTTGTATTGTGGAAATGTATAAAATATATTTACTTAAAATTGAAAACAATATTTTAATTAATATGAATTTTACATTTATCTTGAAAATATTTATGAAATGGTTCATCTAAAACTAATAATATAATACTTAACAATTAAGTACTTTCTAACTATAAAATATATATTCTTCAAACATAGGTATTATTTAAGACATTATATTTACTTTTTTCTATACTCTGTTCAAAATAAGAAACCTAGACGGCGGCCAGCTACTGCGCAGTGGCGTGGCTACTGGCTAGACTAATAGCACGGATATAAATCAATGCCACCGCAGCGCTTCGGCGGGAGCGACTCATTAGTCTATCTTTGATAAGTGACATGAACTATGAACACATAACTTAAAACAATATTATTTGAAATTCAACGGAAAGGCGCATACGTGCGAAACCCTGCCACCAGCTGCGTCGCGAGTAGTCGGCCGAGCTGGCGAGCAGATGGTTGATTTGGTGGGGAGAACAATGGGCGTAATCTGACCGCCGCCCTACAAAAACTGGTCGCCGCCGTCTAGGTTTCTTATTTTGAACAGAGTGTATATTGATTTATTAATTTCATCGCCAGCTTTAATCGGGGAATAGTAAGTTCCTACACGGCTACACGAGAGTAGCAGGTAAACAATTGCATATGTTAGTTCCTACACGGGCATATGTAAATTCCTACAGGATAAAAACCAGGTACCTATGTTAGTTCCTACACGGCGGAAAAAGGTACATATGTAAGTGTACCTATACCTATGTGTATATATGTGTAAATATGTATATACGAATAAATATATGATGATTATATATTATATAATACAAATCGCATTACACATTTTCACAAATAAGCATATAATTATTAGATTTGTTATTGAAACTTTATACGCTGGTATAGCTATTTAATATAGGTAACTACATTTAAATATACTTATAAATAATACTTATAAATGTATATACGAAATCACTGGAAAATACGACAAGCTACAAGCTGGTAATATTATCCCCTATAACGACTCGACGTAAGGAAAAAGATAAAATATCTTATTATCTATATTTTTGACATACAAAATATTTATGACTTTTCATCATCGATAAAAATGATACAGAACTTGATTTTGATTTGATAATCTTAAAATTAGTTATAAGTCTTATAACTATACACAGTAAAATGTACATCTAGTTATTTCTCTTAAAAGTTTTGTTAGTAGGTATTGTTCGAAACATCTGAGTGTCGGTACATATCCGTTTATACTAATCATATACAGTTATACAAATTCACAATGAGCGAGAATGTATCATTCATGTTGAGTGAAAAAGGCAAACAACTACTAGTTTTGAATAATTTTAAATTTTTTAAGCATCATACATCTAAAAAAAATGAAATTACGTGGCGTTGTGTTATAAATTTAAGTGTAGTGCAAAAGTTTATACTTTGGGTCAAAATGCCCAATTAATTAATAAAGATAAATCGTGTTTTGATCACAGCCATGCAAGTGATAGCACTTTAAATCGGCAACAAATAAGCAATGCTTGCAAAAGAAAAGCTGTAGACTCTATAGTTGAAAACCCGTCAAAAATAATACGAAAAGAAGTATCAAATTATGCTAACGAAGGAGATTTGATTGCACCCGACTTAAAACTCATAGCAAGGAATATTCATAATGCAAGGATGCATTGTTTCCCCAAACTGCCAACATCAAGAAAAGAAGTTCACGAAATATTAAGTTTATTAGACATAAAAACAAATAGAGGTGAGTTATTTTTATATGAAAATGATGCGCTAAATGAAATAGTTATTTTTTCATGTAAAACAAATATAGATTTGTTAAAAGAATTAGATGTTTTATATATGGATGGTACTTTTAACTATAGTGATAAATATTATACGCAGCTGGGCACTCAGTGTACATTCCGTTAATGTTTTGTTTATTGCCAAATAAAGAAAAAAAGACTTACATTGCATTATTGAAAACAATAAAAATAGTTGGAGTAATACCTAAAAAAATTATTTTAGATATTGAAATAGCAATGCATCAAGCAGTTTTTGAAATTTTTCCGGAAACAGAGTTGTTTGGATGTCGTTTTCATTTGGGCCAAGCTTGGTACCGCAAAATTCAAAATTTAGGTTACGCACCACAATTTAATTCTTCAAATGACGATGTAGGAAAATGGTTGGTACATATTTTTGGACTTCCTTTTCTCAATCCAGAGGAAGTGGCAGAATGTTTTACAGAATATTTTATGGCAGACAAACCTGAAAATGCAGCTATAACCGAATTTTGTGATTATTTGGTAGACAATTATATATCAAATGAATCAATCTTTCCTCCGAAAATGTGGGCGCGGCAATGTTCTGATAGAGTCCATACGACAAACGCTTGTGAAAGTTTTCATTCAGATTTTAACTCTAATTTTTATCACCAACATCCAAATATTTTTAAAATTATTGAAATTCTCAAACTTTTTCAAGTAAATACGTATATAAAAATAAGAACTACAATTAATAACCCAAAACCAAAAATCAGTAAAAAATACGCCGAAAAAGAAGATTTTATAAATGAAAAAATTTCAGATTATAGAACAAGCAAAATAAATAAATACGATTATGTTAAATTATTAAGTTATAGAAATAAACCTCATAAAATATAAGTTTTCATTTTTATTATATTTTTTACTTTTTATATTATATTATATTCAATTATGAAAAATTAAAATGCATTATACGATTTTTATTATATTTTTTACTCATCATATTATATTTATTTGTGACGATGCGTTATGCGATTTTTTTTTTTGATTTTTTACTCTTTATATTATTTTATATTTAATCGTGAAAAATTAAAATGCATTATGCAATTTGTATTATATTGTATAATCATCATATAATATGTATTTATTCGTATATACATCGTATATACATATTTACACCTTTTTTCCACAGTGTAGGAACTAACATACGTACCTGGATATTACCGTGTAGGAACTTACTTTCCGCCGTGTAGGAACAAACGTGTGTATTTTTTTTACCTGCTACTCTCGCGTAGGAACTTACATTCGTCACTTTAATCCAATTGTTACCATAAGAGGCAGGTAATACTAAACCAAGTGTTCTATTTTTGGGTCTAATAAAGTATAATGATAATTATGAACTTCAGACCTAACTCTTCTCTAAATAAATATGACTCCTAATTTATTCTTACCATCTAAAATCAATATATTTATAGTTTATTATTAATTATTATTACTTAACCATATTGACGTTGTAATGATATATGTATATATAATATAAAAATATCATATTTAATTATATATTAATTATACTTATCGAACGACACTTAAATTTAAAGATCATTTTATGCATCATAATTATAGGTACATATTATTCAGACAACATTTAAAAATTAAAATAAGATATCAAATTATATTCATTACAATAGATTATTATACCTAATTCACATCAATTTATATAATAACTTTATTTAATGACATTTAGAATTAAGACTATAAAATATGTAATATTACATCAGATACATCAGATACACACTCACACACACACAAAATATTACATATAAGGAGGCTGGTCAATACCTATCCGGCAGGCAGTGTTTTTCCGACCACGAATGCATACCTGTTATTATCATACCTGTTGTATAGATGTTAAAAAAGCGAGTTTGAAGAGTACACAGACATTCTGTACAAAAAGATATTATTGCAAAGTAAATTAACTGTTATATTAAATGTAAATGTCGTATGTTAAATAAATAAACTCAATAGTTATAACCAATTAAAAAAAAGGTTTTTTATTATTTGAAAATGTGTGTTTTATAACTAATTGACTAAAGAAGAAGAAGAATCAAAAAGGTAATATGTTAATATATAACATAATTTCGTAATTATACCTATTTCTTGTCACTCTCCCAATCATTACAAAGTTTTTTAGAACACCCAAAATTAAACAAATAAAAAGATTATCGGACAAAAGCTTTCAAACTGGAAATCAAATTACGGTGACATCTCAGCCTATCCAATTTTCAAGTGTCAAGTATTCAAAGTTCCTGAAAATGTCCAACAAAATGATATACCAGAAATTAGGTGATTACAATTCAATGAAATCTCAACAAAGAAAATCACAACAGGAAGTCAACCAACACAATCCACAATCAACGTCACGGATTCAACCAGAAAAGCAGCATATCCCGCATCAAGCACCAACATCAGCACCAACCACATCGTCAAGAACCAAAAACAAAAATTTGGTAAATAAAAAAAATCCCTCCCACAATTCTAACCATAAAACGTATAAAAAAATAAATTATAATAACAATTCTAAAACAAGGAATAAATAAAAACAATATATAACAAACTTAAATTCTATAAGATAAACCAATATAGACACAAATCAAAATTATAATAGAAAATTAATCGAACAGCAAAAATTATAGGGTCAGTAAAATATTATAAAATCAAAAATATCTTTTAAAAAAAAAACACTGTAGGTATGTCTAATGAACTTTCCTTTTGTGAACCAACCAAATTTTCTGGAGCTATTCACGAAAGCGTAAACATATATTTTATCCAAAAGTATAATGAAGCAAGCCTTATTCTGAACAAAAAGTATTATTTCTTGCTATTTATCTCCAAGGCACAGCATACACATTTTTAGACAACCTTGAGAATTCTAATCCAACAACCACATGGAAAGAATTAGAAAATGCACTTCGATTAGAATTTGAATCACCAGCAGAAAAATATATGCTTAGAAACTTGCTAGAAAATAGAAAACAATTACCCACTGAGACCGTAGAATCATACGTTTCTGATGCAGAACATTTATGCAAAACAGTCAACCCAAAAATGTCACATTCAGAAATAGTATATAAAATAATGAAAAGGTTAAGACCAGAAATTATCAAATATATAGGAATTTCAGACAATAATAATTAATCAGACTTAAAATGAAATATTAAAAAAATGAGTTAATACAATTTAACATAAATAACAAAATAAGACAATCTACTTGGGAAATCAAAGACCAAATTTTTAAGGAACATGTATATACAAAACACTTAAAACAATCTAACTTAAAAAATATAAATTCTGTTCAAGAGTACAATAATAATTACGTTCATAATTCTAATAATAATCGATATAAAAACATTTTACACGCAATGACTCACATCAAAATAAATTTAATAACAACCAATTAAATTTAAATTCTGAAAATAATAAAGAACTCAAAAATAATAATAATTGTTACAATAACCAGCTAAATTACAACACATATAATTTAAATCTGAATAAGTGTTCACAAATGAATAAAAATAATAGTACCTAGTAATACAAAGAATATTGAGTGTAAAAATCAATGTAAACACTATTATAAATTCAACCACACTAGCATAGAATGCAAGTGGAAATTAATATGTCATTTTTGCAATAAAAGATACCATACTACCAATGAATGCTACTTGAAAAAAACTTGTTTAATATAAAGCATAATAAACCAACTAATAGGTTAAATGAACCTAGTCGAAAACCACATCACTCTTCGGTTTCAAAAACACCAAATAATAAATATGATAAAAGTGATATTAGTGACATAATATTCATATAACAATAACTGAAAATAAAGGAAAATCTAAAGACTTACATAGGTATAATATCAATATATCATGCCTAAACAATGAAAACATAAAAAACTTCTACATATTTTGGAACATTCAAAAAATATATTTACGATGACCTAGTTAATACAAAACTAATAAGCCCATTAAATAAATATAAATTATCAGGTCCAGATAAAATAACGTTACAATTCTTTTTAACCACACAAATAATTTAATAATTGAGAACATAGTATTTCTAACACCAATGAACATGATAACAAATCTGACCACCACTATGTTTCCCGAAAATAAATTCGTAGAGACTAATAAAACCAAAATTGAATATACCTACTAAACAATTAATTACGCCAAATAAAAATATTAAGACCAAGGCAATGCTATCAGCCAATGCAATTGAAACTATTAAAAACCACACCCAAAATATACCGTATAGCAAATACCATCTCTGCTGACTTTCAAGCCAACACAGAATCATCAAATAAACTAGGTAATACAACAATTTGACATCATATCTATTCTTTACAAGATAATAACACCTCGTAAAATAACTAAAATTGGTTATAAAAAAATTATAAAAATAGCACATAATATAATAACCACAAAAGAAAAATATAGTATATACCCACATTATATTCAAAAATCTTTGACAATTCATAAAATTTTAAAAATTCGAGGATAAAGAAGAGCCACGAAAATATAGCCATAATATCCAATATGAATTCAATGACTAATAATGAATTACTACAGTGGGAAAAAATAAAAAAATGTTATATTTAAGAGGTTCTATAAAACAAAAATAAATCCATATATGTGCAATCCAAATAGTATTGCCTAAGTTATGTTATTATTAAAAATAATAACATAACTTAGGTAAATGATCTATACAAATAAATAAGACAATGTTCAGTTTATTGAAGCATTCTATAATTATAAATTCAAAAAGAATATAATATCTTATTATCTTATAAACAATTTAGACTATATATAAATCCAACCGATGACAACAAAAATCAAAAAATCTTAACACTTTTGAACATAACACAATTATTACAAATATCAGAGTTAGTCAACAATTATTGGCATGATAATAAATTTCCGTTTATAGCAAAATATTATAATTTTGTCATATGTATAGAATATGTTATGCATATTATCTTCTGATAAAAGAAAAGATATATATGTTTACAATTTAGAGCCCAGATTTTATATTATTATTATTATTATTATTATTATTATTATTATCAAATAATAGAATAAACTGTCACTCTAGATCAATAATAAATAACAATTCCAAATAAGATAAAATTATTGATAAAATTATGCATACCGAAATCTATATCAAAATAATGAACAACAAAAGAAAGTTTAATCAAGAATTATATTATATGAAAAATAAAGTTGAATCACAAACTAAAATATGTATTATATATACAAATTTAAAATTATATAATTATGAAACATTAAGAACAAATTTCAATAATATAAAACTGGTAGGTACAACGGATTAAACAATTAACCCCATTAGATCAATCTAAACACATATCGTCAAATAAAATAAAAAATATTCTTTACCCTAAACAAGCTAAATGTAATTTTAAATTTTAATATTTAAACCACGAAAAATCAAGGAAACAATATGTCAGTTCATAATACATCACATAGAAAACATCCAATTTAAATGGTTACTTTACTTTTCCATATTATACTCAATAATAATAATTTTCAACAAATATCAACAAACAAAAATAATATACTCGCATATGTGAAGAAAATATAACATTAAAATACCTACAAATAAAATAATTATAACTTCAACTACTATTGTGCGATTTTTCCGTTCTACTTTTCCACTCTGCTTGGGTGTATATGGTACTGTTAATTGGTGTCATTTGCCGTATTTTTGTAAAATACCTGTAATTTCTTTATTTACGAATTCTAACCCGTTATCCGTTCTTAATATTTTGACCTTAGAACCTGTTTCTGTTTCAACACTTTTTATATATGTTTCCAGAATCTTTTTAA